TGTGTAACATAATCAAAATAGATAAAACTGGTTCAACGGAATGTCACAGTATCTGGGCAGCACTTTCTCGAAAACGGATAGAACGAGCTGGACTAAACCGTTCTTTGCAGTTGACTTACATTCTACGGGACTGTTTAGTCCGTCCCGCTAGATTGTTTTCAATTTCATTTGAATTTCATTCTTTATTTCTCTGTTTTGACAGGCACATTTTCCGTGGTTTTGTTTATCAGACAACAGACGCGATGTGATGCTTTTGAGTGCTCTCTGTCAATGATCCATCTATTTAGAATGCGAAAGACTGACCTGAGACCAACGCCAGTATTACAAACACCCATGTATTCAATGCAATTATTTTTCGTATATGGAGACTTGTAACAAAAGTCAGCCATCAGCTGACCAAGACCAATCAAAACCAACAATTTTCTTGGCACACAGTCGAAGCATATTAGCTTTATGCGTACATTTTTTTCCAAATTTATTCAATCTCAATGCAATACCACAGGAACGGAACGGAAGCAAAGAACATCGTTCAAGGCGGTGTTCCTCTGCATAAAACCATTTACCTAGTAGTGATTATAAATTGTGATTGACAGGTAATGGCCAACGTGGAATTTAGGAGTGATTTGCAGCCTATTGCCAATTTAATTCAGCCACGGAGCACATATACGTGCACGATGTGGTTCTAATATCAGATCATTAGATCAACTTGTGGGTCTTAACTGCGCACAATTTTAGTTGCGTGAATTAGTCAGTTATCTTTCCAGTAACTTCAATAGCGCTCTGAACTTGCCCTTCTTCAATTCAGTCGTCGGACCACGATGTACGGAGTGAACCGCACAATCAAGAACAGATACGGTTGGAATAGCCATTATGTAGTTATCCAAATACCTTGGCCGTGGAAAACAATAAATCAGTTAATCAGTCAATCAATTGATCTGACAAATAATGTAGAGCTGAAGCTTGTAATGAAACCCACACCACTAACTTTGATGCACGACCAAAATTATTGAGGTAGTTGGTTTTCAGACAAAGTACATTAATGCACGATGTTCGAAGTTTCATTTTGGCGTAGCAAAACGAAAGGAGGTTCTAATTTAAACAGACAAAAGAATTTCATCAAGAAGTATATCGTCAATAAATGCGAATACACTTTCGTCCATTTTATTAAGAAATAAACTATGGCAATGACACGGTCCATGCATTTTTCCCCTGCATATTTTTGATGAATTTCCAAAATCAGTCAAGATGCCCTTTGATAATTCTTTGTATTTCGTATGACTAATGTTCAATACCACAAACAAAGCTTGACAATTCATTTGTTTCTGAAATGATAGAAGGTAACTTGTCACAAATGGGGTGAAGGTGGAGTTGCCATCATGCAGATTGTTGTGCATCCGCAGACAGCATATTGATCTCCTCCTCGGGGTGGAAAAGATAAAACTGGCTGTTCCGCTTTTATATGCGAACTTCCAGTGCCCACTATTTTATTTACCTGAAAATAGGAAAACCCGAGCCTCTTGGTTGAAAGATTAAAGCGTCAGACTACCCCAGAATATACATCTAAAATATAATAATAGTAATAATAATAAATAAAATTCACCGGCGGTGGGGGCGGGTGGTTTCTCTCAATCAGCATCAAATTCAACGGAGAACATACCAGAGGTTACCGGATGTTTGCATATACACTCAAAAGGCGTCAATCGTTCACCGAATATGGGCGAGACCTGTTACTTTCCTCAAAACATTTGTCCGGTATTGCGTTTGAAGGGGAGGTCGCATTTTTTACCCTCACCTGGTAAGGGTATTACATGGAAATGGACTCATCAATACGATACACTGGACACCCTAGACGAATCACTTATGCAAAGGGAACGTATCACCTGACAGGCTTCACACAGACACTCCATAGACTGCTATCTTCACATGCCAAAAGGGTGTCCTGTTTGTGGGTTAGAATTTGGCTTGTTCAAGCCTCTATTTGTTAATCTCCATGGAATTAATATGCGTTGGTTCAGACAACCTGCGGTATTCTGCCTACAGGCAACCAATTGACGGGAAAGTTTTGTTGTGTATCTTGCTGTACAATCATTTATTAATGGTAGGTATTCTGGACTCGGACAAGTGCAAACATGCAAACTGACTTATTGGATTGCCCGGTAATTATTTTCTTCTATCTCGTATTTTGTTGCATTTTCCGTAGTAAAACGTAATCGGAGATGTGCATTATGAAAAATTAAAACTTTGAACAGCACAAGACGATTTGATTTTTCAAATGAAATATGTTTGAATTACAGGAGGGTTGTGGAGGACTTGATTTCATTATATGTTGAGTGTCACCCTTGATCAGTAAAAAAGGAGAGCAACGTAAAAGGTTTTTTGCACTTTTTTCAAACATTTATCAATCAGATTAGTGTATCAGGGGCACCAGGCACTGTTGGTGATCTTGGGTATGAATTTCACTCCCTTGGAGATCATTGATTCCCCACGAGATAAATACATTCAAATGCGATTGGAATGTTTCTCATGAACGACAGAGACCAGTGGACAGCTTTTTCGTCCTGTTCGGGACTCATCACCAGTGCGTACTCTTTGTGTCTTCACATTGACACGAGCCAGGAACATTCGGGTTGGGACTTCAAACCCTCATCCCTGAGTCATTAAATAATTAGTGGGAAACATCATTCGAACAGGGATTGGGAAACAACGTACCTGATCGCACTTGATGATTCAGAACGATAGATAGCACACCGACTGAAATAGTCCCGGTGAAAGACCGTGAAGGATTTGTGCATTTTAGGTGATCACCACCCAAGAACATACAATCCGTCGGTGGAAGAGGTTTCCTTTACGCATTCAAAACGAAGTGAATTGTGACTACCGATGCGTAAATATCCTCAAATGCAAATTCCAGCTGGACAGCTACACGAATGGGAGTGTTTGAAAATGAGTGTCTGACAGGGGAAAGCNGGGGAAAGCAGAGATATTGAAAACGATTCGGCTATGGTTATGCACGTGACCTACGATGGATGACGTGCTTTACAACAAACCGTTTATTCTCATATAAGGCCACAACAGTCTTGAAAACTGAAAAGTCCAGAACTGAATACGGTCAAACGCTGAAAAGAAACTGTAACTGTAACTGGCACCACATGCGATCGACGAGATGAAGCTAAGCACGCCTTGGGAACATCCGGTTCAGCAGATTAATAAACGGACTTCGGAATATTGAACAAGTGCGATAAGTAGTGATCTATCATCCCAAATCGTTTTCACTCTAACATCCACATCATAGAATATGTGATAAATTATCCCTGCACGTGACTGAAGCGCTCTTCAGTGTGTAACTAAAAGCTTGCTACAACCCATTTGCGCGACATGATAAAAATCGCGTACAAGCAGAACACTGCCACTTCACAAGCACTGATGATATCACCTCGGTGATATCACCTTGGTGATGAAACGATTGCAAAACAATTGCCAAGCTAGGTGAACAGGCGAAACGGAATGATAAAAATCTTCTAGGAAGATTGAACTGTCAACAGCTGTAGTGAGGTCGTGCACGCAAACATGTGAGTAATAAGTCACGTGCGCTGGCTGGAACAGTCTTCGGATACTCGGTGCGCATTACGCTGACCAAAATGTCCGTTCCATGCTGGCTTGTGAAACCTGTTGGGAGACCGGTTTACCAACAACCTGAAACTATTCAGAGTTACAGATTTTCCACCGTATTTCTTGTGTGTTACTCTTTTTTGCTCGAATCACAATTTATGTGTTTCAGTACCGAGAAGAATTCACCATTCGGCAAATAACAAAAAGAACTATAATTTCGATATGACTCTTCGATTTATTACAAATCCCTGGTCGCTATTCTTGTTAGGAATAACTGGCACTACAGGTCCTGTGACTGGAACCCCATACGCAAATTCAGGCTTGCGAAATGGATACGGGCCATCAACATAGGCCAGCTCGCTGAAGCCGTGCTGCGAACGTCATCCCCAGCTTATCGTCTCATTTCTAGTTGATAACCGTCACGACTGACGCAACGTTTCGAGCCCGTCTAGATCGAATATACCAAACAACTGTGTCTGCGGTACATGTTTATTTCTGATATTTTCGTTGATGTCCATTTTGAAATAAATGCACGGTTGCTGAGAAAAACTTGTGTGCCTGTGTGTATGTGTCTGTGAGTATGTTGGCGGGTATTTTCTTGCGTGTATGTGCGTACGTGTAGTTGATCACTCATGGATTCCGGGGCACAACCACTGCGGCTGATCATTTTCGGGATTCTGGATTGAGCTAGGCTTGACCAGAAAACAAATCGCGGTTACGAACGATCAGGAGAGGTCAGGGGAAGTGGCCCGAAACGAGAAGGAGATACGGAGGAGCACGGAGTTTCAAGTGCACAGATAATGGGTCCATAACTGGAAAGCAGAAAATTCGTCATCAGGAAATAAGGAAAGTACGTCAAGGATTCTGGCGGTTCTTTGATAAACCCAGCAAGAAGAATTACAATACAGCACGGGAATGTTGATATTCGAGAGAAAAACAAAAACTCTGCAGAACAATGCCAGATAGAGGACGGTTCTATAGTAGGTTTGGTACAGCTGAGGTTCACACTGAGGTAGCAAATGAAATGTGTGGACCATTAAATATGCCACTCAACTCCTTTTGCTCAGTACGTCGCTTTGATTTTCAAAACATTTCTCTCCCTCACGATCCTGAAGTATAGATCTTATTATTACAGTGAGTAAGGTGGAGTACTGTAGGATGTGTGTGTGTGTGCAATTGTTCGTTCTGTCTGTCTGTCTGTTTGTTTGTTTGATTGTGTGTCTGTTTGTTTGTTTGTGTCTGATTGTCTGTCAAGAGATTAGTGTAAGCTGGTTGGCGAACGGAGAAACAGCTCGCTAACCGATGCACACAACAGAGCATGGAAGGAGAGGGAGTGAAGGGGGACAAATTATGCGATGCCTTCAATAATGCTCCAGCGGTTATAGGGCACCTTGCCAGCAAATTGCTGGAGCATGCACTGTCGCAGTTGTTCCATCTGACTGAAATTGTTTATTCCGGGAACATTGGCCGAGGTCACGGATTTGCGAAAGCGTTGAACGGATTGGGTGCCGATCAGCTGAATGCAACGCTCCAACGCGCTATCCACACGCAATGAGGTGAGATATTCGGCTTGCGGATCAAACTATCCACGGGATGGGTCCAACGGGTCACACGGCATCCAAAAGGTAATGCGGAGATGAGGGTAGTAGAGAAGAGAGTATTGTCGATGTAGGATAAGCAAACACGAGAAATTAGTGATACCCACATACATTAAACGGCCACAATTCTTCAGTTTTCTGAAACTGAATAGTATGGTTCGGCAAATAGGTTGCACTATTCGCATTGTCGGTTAGGCTGGTCCGTTTAGCTAGCAATGAACTACTGGTAACTTAACTGTCAGGCTCGGCGAGCGACTGAACGTTAAGCTACGCACTGGTAATCAAAAGTACAACCGGCATCATTTGCAATCCTAGTTCAGCAATAAAGTATCCCTCCGAATTGGAAGCCACACTTTGGAGGCACTGAGCAAATATCAAAAGCAGCCCGTTAGATGAACTTATTATTGCGGTTGTTCACTGTGAGAGTTTTTCATTTGGAAGGCTTCCGGGATTACCTGGCTCGACTGTGCACTTCGACGACACGAACAGTTCTCCCAAAGCTCTGTCCCATTTGAACTAAATAGACGTATCACAGAGAGGCATCAGAGAAACTCTTGGAGCAACCCCATAGTTTGGTTATAAACTCATCCTATAAACCAAGCAAAACATGGTTCTGTGCGTTGGCCAAACATCATCAAACTGCTTTCCACACTTATCATGTGCAGTGAATTCGTTCATAACAAGAAGACCTCGTGTAAACAAACTTAGAATCAATAGATTCATGTGAAAATCACCCCTTTTTGGTGGGTCTAGAGGGCAAATCCCATCAGTGCACCACTCTCTCTCTCAATGGTCAATACCTACACATTCCAGGTAGACGTTTGTGGTTCACAATCCCTCCGCAAAATGGACAATACTACAGAATATCGAATGAAAATAGGCAAAATAATTTCACCAAGCGTTCATAAACCATACTCACAGTTGAAACATTATTTCAGGCAGTCCATCAAGTTCTCCACCTGATTAGAAGAGACACTCGTGGAAATGAGGGCTACTTCAAGCTCAATTCAACATTTATCAATGTAAGCCCATCTCCAGTGTTCCTTATTCATGCCAATACTACTCTATCGATATGTGATTAGTAAGATAAAATAGATTATGAAAAAAAATTCATTTGAGTGTTTCAAACTTTAAACCAAAATTGTCACCCTCTTTAAATGTGCATGTGTTTGACGTGGCCAGAACATCCTCTCCGCGTGATCCATTTGGATGAACCGATTAATTTGATAGAATTCATTTTGTTCATCAATTTCCCCTGTTATCAAGCAAATGTATACTCATATTAAATATGTTGGAATGGTAAGAAGTGCCCGGACATTCAGATAAATGCGTTCCCTAAAGCGAAAGAAGAGTAGTGATCACTCGTGGCTTAAAGAATGATCTGCGTGTGTGTGTGCGTGCGCGCCAAAGACTTTCGTGCTACCGCTGTTTTAGTCGTGGTAACGGGCGTTTTGCCACCTCTCATCCGCTCACCTCACCTCAACCATTCTCTCACTTGAAGACTGACACTTTAGCCTACTTATATCACATTCATCAGTCCCAACCCCGATATGGTGACGCAACCGTTCTCCGTCTGACTAGGTTCTACGAAGATTTGCTTTGAGATGCAAGAGGCGAAACAGACTTACTGTTGCTTGAGTTTGGGTACTTTAACCTCCAGGGGCCCCGTTCCAGCGCCGTATTGTTACCCAATTAGCGTGAATATATAGTGAAATACAGTCAGTTGGACCGGTCAGGACAGTGGGGAATGCCAATTCTGCTCATTCCAGCATTTCTACGAGCAAGCGGGACCCGAATACAGGAATTCGAGTGTGACTGATCCCATAGCGGATGGACTGCAAAAACACTGCTCGCTATCGAACAATCAAAGGCAGCAATTAAATATAGATGCAAATGGTATTCCCACGGTCAGCACAGATGAAGAACAGGAATAATTTTTTGGCCAGGTACAATCGTGTATGAAAGGATCAACGTGTCATCCCAACGGTACTGACACCAATTTCACCATCAATATTCCAGACAACAGGTATCTTCAATCTACCGGCACAGAAGGCTTTGTTTTAAGAACCTGTACTGGATTCGGTCGAGGCAACTATCGATCAGTTTTAATAAGCCTTGACTACTCCGTTCATATAAAAACCATTCTTTTCTGCACTAGTATCAATGAATGATTGTAAATGAATTACTAGTAACGAATCCGGGAGATTTAGCTGAATTAAACGATGCGATTTGCCTAGGTAGAGGATCGTTTCTCAATTTTCCATGAACTGTTGTCATAGGGAGCGGGGGCGAGGGGGCGAGGGGATGAGGGGGGGGGAGTCAACAGATCCGCGATCAGATGAAACCCCAATCGGGTCTAGCCTCATTTCCGACAGAATACATGTGTCTGTAGAGTTGTTGTTGTTGTTGTTGTTTGTAGCGTCAAGTCAGGAGTACAAATCCCACCAAACTCGTTTGGATATTTCACCGTTTAATTTTCAATAATACGTATTAGGAAAACTCGCTAGACTGGTAAACAGCGCAAAGATCTGACACCCAACATGTGGCCACAGAGAGAAAAAAATCGAAATCGGATGGAATGCATTTTTTTTTAATTTGAAAATCTAACAGCTATTGTGCCCATCGGGAATAGAACTGCTACGACTTCACTGTTTCCGTTGCACGGCTAAAACGACCAACCCCGTATCGGAGAACGTGCTTTTTGGGCGGGTAAGGGATAAGGGGTTGACTCAGTTCGGTGGTTTGCACTGTGCTGACTTTTGCCTGTATGGAGATGCGCAATTCCTGTAACATGATCAATCCTACACTGGTAGCACACATCTCACGTAAACACACGTCCTCTTTTACTATCGAATGATCTAATGTTTAACAGTAGACAATTTACTGACATCTCTGTTGTGACAAGAATATTTCTCAAGTCCGGTTTTAGATTATTTACGAGTATCATCCACAAAAGAAAACGCCAGTCAATTTTTGACACAAATCCAACCGCTTATTGTCCCCGATATTCAACTAATTGCTAACGGTAAGCAATGAATACCACGATAAAATGTAAAAGTCATTGGTCTTCCCCGGAAATCACAAACAAATAAAGTGAGATACTAAACAGTTTTACCAAATGCTATCTTTTTCTGGGTTTTCCCGACCGGGCGTCCGCATTTTCGATGATGAGCATTAACTTTGTCGTTATCGCAGTTTTATAATCGTTACTGTTAAAAACATAGCAATAGACTACTAAGAGAAAGCAACAAGATGGGTGTCACATGCATTTGTGACGCCATGGCTATTTGAATCTACGTGAAGTTAGCCCAGAATGCTGAGAATGGAACAAGTTTTTTTCTGGAAATACCCCACTTGACCAATTGAATTATTACTGCTAATAATTCTTGTCTGTCGCCTGCATAAAATATCTTATCGTTTTGTGCAATCTTGAAAACTCACCATGGCAACTGGAGTTGACTCCGTTTGCGCACAGAATCCAACGAGAATGGCAATCACCGGTAGGCCGAACAGTATGGGTTGTAGCATTGCGTGATCAAGCGTGCTTGTGTTACCTGTTCGTGCGTGTGTGCGTGCGTGCGGACGTGCGTGGGTGCAGGGGCGCGCCAGATGTTGTCAATTGACGTGTTCTCGCTTGCCGAACACCTCGCGGCGTCCCATGAGCAGTCCGCCATGTTTTATAACGCTGAACCGGTTTATGGCTGGCTGTCTATTGGTTAATTCCTTTCTTCCAATCAGAGCGTACGCTATCGGGACCAGTGTAAACACTCGACAGACGAGTTCATACTCGGGTTGACCTGATTGGTCGAGCCATCAGTTGTGAACCGACTGGCAAACGGTGGATTCAGACAGAGCTGTTGTGACCAAGCCTGTGGATTCCAACTGATTACGTTGCGATTTCCGTTCGGAATGGGATCATCATGACGTCGGACCTGCATCTGTTCAAAATTATTGACTGTTTGGTACCAATGTTCGATTGTTAATGGGTGATTTATACTTTCACCAAACTTAGCGAAGCAACCTAGATCAACCCGATAGTCGAACACCAGTTCAAGCGGCTGAACAACGCGTATCCAAAATGAAAGCATGCGAACGAGACAGTCAGATACCCAAATCTGCAGTCCTCATTCATTTAGTACCGGGTAGCTGACTGTAGAATCTGTCTCCATGACACTCCTGTCCCTAAGTCCGTTGTTTACTTGGAAATAGTTCTCCACTCCTTGTTCTATTTGAAACAGTATTTATTATGCGAAAAGGTTACGAAAAGGTTATTCAAATCTGTAACGACCGAAATTAAATGTATCAATAAGCTTAGTATCTGAAAACAATCTGCTTCAAGTTGAACGAAGAAATTTGAGCTATCATGGAGAGAGAGATCAAATTGGTCGGGTTGTGCCTGCCTGAATTAATTATGTGATGGAAATGTTTATGTTCATGGACAACGAGCACTGGAAAGCAGTTTCGTCCTGTTTGGGATTCGTCAGTAGTGCGTACTTTTTATCTCCCTGCTAGGACTCGAACCGCAAACATTCGGGTTGGGACAACAAAACCCTTATTCCTGAGATACAAGATGGATGATCATCTTGTACAAGTGGCTCAATCAATTTAGAGTATCAAGCTTGGGTTAACCCATTCAGTTTTTCACAGGCACCAGGCACTCTTGATGGTCTTGGTTGTGGGTGCCACCCCTTGGGTGATCGTTAGTTCCGCACGGGTTAATGCATTCAAATGCAATGGACCAATCGAATGGGCTAATCCAAGCTTGATACTCTCAGTTGAAATAATTATGTTCCTATTTTTCTTTATTGAAGTATTTGTTCAACAAAAGAGCACAATTAACTAAAGGATCCACCTGAACAGTATTGTTTGCAGTCCAACGCGAACGTCCGGTGCACGGAATTACAAACTGAGGACTTGCCGTGATACAGCTCATTAACGGTCTCTTGAGAGTGAAAAATTCGGTGCTGCTTATATTAGGACTCACAAACTCATACCACTTAATCACGAGGGTCGATTTCCATAATCGACAACTGTCAACTATTTCCAATGAGAAATACCTACGCATCAAATTTCACCTAGACCAACCGTATCACTGGTTCGTCCGCAGTCGAGAACAATGTTGGTTTGCATAAGAGTAGTAGTTCACCATTACACGGTGAGCGTAAGATGATGGATCAGTTCACAATGAATAGTCACCAAAATTTTCAAGAGATTTCATCCGCACTCTGATGTTGGGCCAGTACAGTGACCGCAGTTGCATTCCTCTCAGTTACAACAAAAGTAATAGGTTTACGCTCTTATGCTAAAACGTGTAGAATCGGTGCATAACAACTTATCGGTTTTAGTACATTTTTTCATTTGTGCTCTTTATCATACTAAATGGTTTCCTTTCAGAAGCACAAACGAAAAAACTCAAAGCTCCAGCGTTCAGTAAAGACAAACAAACCAATTGACCCTTCGCGCCCCATCACAAATCAGCCCAGTGACTGGTAGAAGTCCTTCAGCCAGTAGAGTACCATCTCGGAAATCACACACTGCGTGATTGTTTTCACTTTGATGATGTAGTGTCCAAGTTAAATTTGTCTGGTAAAAAATGCGGTCGTTCGATATCACATTTTATTCATAAATGAGCCGCCTTTCCCACATCAAATCGTAGACCGTATCTTCTATTGAATCACACGAGAGAACATCAACCTTATGATACCTCGAATACTTTTGAAACCCCTTAGTCTACTATGCACTAAAAACGTGCGTTTCTGGTTTCGAAGGAACAGCATTTCGATAGACAAACTGTGTTGTCCATATCGTGTAAATGGAAAATAAAAAACGGTCTGATCAGTTGCCCAGTGGCGTAGTGGGTAGCACGCTTGCGTTCTGCCCATGGAGTCCCAGGTTCGATTTCCAGTCGGTTCGATGGATTCGCACTGCTGATGAGACCCAACCAGGTCGAAACAGCTGCCCAGAGCTTCCGAGCTTTTCAGTTTACACTTCACTTGTTATATGCACGACGAATTCCAATTTGAAACTGTGTTGTAATACGCAAGCCCTCTTGATCCTATACTGGTCGATATTTTCACGGATATGGTTGAAACATGGTTGTATGAGGCAATCAACCGTGGTTTTTTCTTATATAAAAGATACGCTGCTGATGTTTCCATCATCTTCAATCAGGCTTATCACAATGACGTACTGCTGTATAAATTCAGCACAGCACAGTGTAACTGGAATTTCACGTGTGAAGTAAAGAAGGGACATTCATCAGTTTTGCTTGTTGTCCTAATAATACGTAAAAACGACGGTTCTTCTAAACGATTTATCTTCCGTAAGAAGATGTCGTTCAGATAGTGCATTCCGTTCAACAATTTCTCATCCATGGAACAGAAAAGAGCCCTGGATCGAAGGCTGGTGTTCCATAGAACGAGAAAAATATGTACGAAGGACACTAAACTAAACTAACAGGAGAATATATATATATAACATTACGGGAGAATGATTATCTGGAGTCGTTTGTGCGGTTTCATGATCGAACGAGAAATCGGACTTAAGCACCCATCAACCGGCTATTGAAAAGGGAAATGTACATCTCTTTATAACTTAAGGAAGATACAGCGATGCGGATTATACAGTGAATTTAGTCGCATAAAGAGCAAATGAACCGTGAACCGAATAGCTAAGAAGCGCTGTTT